AAGAAACTAGAGAGGCACAGCTGGGTGCCGCACAATGGCATTAACTTATCACACAGCGTACCTGCAACGTGCACAGCACAGGCTTGGCGGGATGAGAAGTGCAGGACACGACCCACATTGCTACAAGGCTTACAGTGAATGGAGAGGTGTCCTCCGTCACTTGCGGGTCCTTTTTCTTCCAAGCAAGAAAGGGAGGCAGGCAATATACTAAAAAGGAATAGGGCACTGAATGGGGAGACCAGGCTTCTGCAGCCCCTCTTGCTCTATGCTCTGGTAGCAGATACTTGGCAGTCACTTCACTTCTCTGCACATCCTGTCGAGACCACCTGGGAGCCCAAGGTTGTCCCATGCCAAGGAAGCTCACTGAAGAGAAGCAGAAAGGGAGCAAGAAACATTTCATTGAAGTTTTTGGCCAGTGCAGGACCCTGGAGAAGGTCCTAATCTTCCCCAAAGCCTTTTGTTCTTCTTTTTTTCCCAAGCAACCTCTTCCTTGAAGTTTTTCACGTGTGTACCCAGACAAAAAATGTGGTGGGAGGGAGCTGAGCTCAGATGAAATTAGCTTCCAGACTGCTTGGGCCCTGTGGCATGTCTGCTTCTCTCTGAAAGCAGGGAAATGCGTCATTGCCATCAGTCAGTGAAACAATATACATGAAAGCACCACTCCTGGCCAAATAAGCAGTTTATGCTCAGTTCCAATAACCAAAAGCTGCTGTAACTTTTGTGGATTTCCAGAAGGTTTCTTCCACTCTTGACCCCACACTGATCCTCATTTCTCTTTTAGTCTTTATGCAGAGTGCCAGTAGGAAGAAACCATGCAGCCATGATGATATCCCCAAACCACATTCACAGCAGTGCACAGTACACAGGGCCTTTCTGCTGAGGTTTATTCCAGAACCAGGGAGCAACAGCAAGTGCTACTGTAACCCTGTATCCCTGCAATACAGTTCTGCCACTGCTAGTAACAGGCTACTAGCTTTGTACTGAGTTTGCAAAGTCTCTGGACTGGGGCTTCTCAGGCTGGCTTTTTCTGAACTTGTATTGGCTTTTATTGACAGCTGCCTCCAGCTTTGTTTTACCTTGATTTAGCTGAAACAGCAATTTTTCTTCTGACCAGGTGGTTATGGCTGACTTGTTTTACTTTGATTACCATTGTATGATACAACCATAGTTTTACAGAGACAGCAGTAACAAGTAGTTGTTCTGTGCAGAGTGAGATATTTATGACTCTAACCTGATGATGCAGCATGGGCCCGTTATGCTAGCAGAGGCCTGGAGAAGTGGAGACACAAGATGCAATGTAGAGGAGTACAAGCATGGGATGATGACAGATGGGGCACAGGCTTGTCACTGGAGACCCCACAGCTATAAAATGGTTCACCAATGGCCAGTTAAATAAATACAGACCTGAAACTAGACAAAACTGTTTTTAGGGGTAACAAAGAAAAAAAAAATAGTATCTAGCACGCATAAAAGGCACCCACGTATAGCAAATTTGTATGTCATGTTGAGCTGCAGTCCAATGAAGAAAAAGCAAGGTGTAAAAGTGTATTAGCAAACATAAAAATGACCCCAAGTGGATTCTAGAGTGACGAAGAAGAAAGCATCAACATCAACATCGCATTCCTCCCAGTGAAGGACTCCAGATACTGACAACTTGTCATAACATCCCAACACTGCTAGGATGAAGCTGCTCACCTTAGGACCCAGGGGAGCAGTGGAAGGGTGCACATAACACCAGGAATAGGAGCAGAAACTAAGAAGTTAACCATTTTAAACTTCTTCTTCTTCTTCTTCTTCTTCTTATTATTATTATTATTATTATTATTATTATTGAAACTTTTTGTGCATACACATATCCTTTCTTTTGCTGTAATAATAAGATCTGGACTGATAATGATTCTTGGATTAGACCGTTAAGAGTTCAGTTATAGTAACAATAATTTCTTGTCTTTATCTGTAAAGGTGTGTTTCTTCTTTGCCCATGAACAAGATTTTGAGCATAGCACTATAAGAAGATCCCCAGATATTCTAGAAGCTGACTGTGTTCCTCACAGGCCCACAATAACCAAATAATTTTAGGACCTGAAGTCACCATCATAATGTGAAAACGGCATCTCCCCATGAGTCCTCCAGGGAGCCTCCTGGTCTCAGCTGAAATGCTAAATTGTGTTTAGGGTAAAATCAACTTTTTTCTTTTTTTTCATTTTCACCCTTCAGCACTGTTACTCCCTTGGACATTCACTCTCTGAATCAAAAGTGATTCTGCCCCCATCTGGACTGCAGTTTGGCCAAGAGGGAAGCCACGGCAAATACATGGTGAGTTAGGATGCATTATTTTTAGCCACAGATCACAATTCAAAGATCTAAGCAGAAACTCCCAAACTCCTCCTTTTCTTCCAGTTCCTCAATAAAAGCTTTCCAGGTAGATGTGCTGCATTTCTAACGGATCAATGTCATTTTACAAATCCACTGTGTTCGTAATAAAGTTCAGGAGTGAAACATTATCAAGCATCCTATCAGCTCTAGCTTCCCTAAACTACTGGAAAAGAAAAGAACAGGCCAAAGACAAGGAGTCACCCCAGCAGGCAATCCTCTGGCGTGGCAGAGAGCTGTACCGCACACAGCTGTGAACAAACTATATGAAACACTCCCCCAGTTTGGGCTAGTCTTCCTGGGCAGAATTACAGGATAGCCTGTAATTACAGGGTGACTGTAATACAGATGTTTCCATGTCCTGGACACTCTGCACCCACGGCATAGAGATGATTGAGTAAGCCCAGTGACCATCCGTGATTCTGGGATTTCTGCTTCCCTTTTTCCTCGGAGCTGCTCGCAGAATATTTTCTCTTGCCTTTTACATGTTTCTGCATGTGTGCTAGTTTTGACATCACAGCCACCCTTCTGTAACTGAGGGCTGTCCATGAAAGGGCCTGGCCTGCTTTTTTCCCCTCTCCTGGCTGCAGACTCCTGCCCTGTCCTCTGTGCCAGCCCCAACAGCCCTGCAAACTTGTGCCTCTCAAGCCATGGCGCAGCAGCAGCACTGTGAAAGACACTGGGCTTAGAGATCAACCTGCCCTGGAGGGGAAGGGCTGAATCAGTGGCAGAACAACTTTTGCTCAGATGATTGTCAGCAATGATGGATTTAACACCAAAGAAAAAGACTGTGAGCCTGCCTACGCTGAGTCGATGTGCTATGGATTAGTGTCTGCACACAGAACCCCTCTGGAGCACTGCAATTCCCCTCTCGATGTGCCGAGCACTAGTTTCCCTATACATGCGTATGCTGCACCTGAATTTATACACCTGCAGCAGGTGTTTAAGGGAATGAAGGTTGGTTAGTGGCTTTAACACCTAGGCAAAAACACAGCAGTTCCTAGTTCTGAGCCCAGCTCCATCAGTGAGCTGCTTTGTAAACTTGGGCTCTCTAAAGTGGTGTGGGTATATGTGTGCGTGTTTCTGCAACGTGGGAATAACAAAGTCTGTCTAACTCCTAGGGTATTGTCATCACTTAGCAGCAGTAGGAAAAATCTTGTGAGAACTTTAGACAAAAGAGTCTGTCTGCTCAAATGCTAATTCACCTCTCTTTTGAGCATATAAGTTTATGGCACAGTTCGAGTTTCGGATGCTCTCGGTCAGGAACTGGAAAAACAAAATGTATGTCCAAGCGCTCAAGTAATGCCTGATCCAGAGCACACTGAAGTCAATGGAAACTTCTCTGTGCGCTTCAATAGGCTTTGGATCTGGCCCTGAACCTGCACTTGATTTATTATGACCATGGCCTCCAGATGGGTAATAACGTGTGCAAATGGCTATTTAGAAGTATTTCCATGCATAGCCACAGTAATAGTTGGCTAGAAGTGGGCATACGATTGCTCATTCTAACAATATGAAAACTGGCCCTAACATGAAATGTTTAAGGCATGGACTTGAACTTCCGGGACTTTGGAAGATAGGAAGGTGTGCTAGATCTAGACCCGGATTTGTAAGTGGCCAGACATGATGTGGAGATGTTCAAATTTGATACTTGAGTGCTCTACGTTAAATCTGAGTATACTGAATATATTGTTGCCTCCTTGCTAAACGAAGAGAGAAGTCTTGATTTCCTGTGTTTTGCCTGTTTTGAAAACAAAGCAGTGAGATATCATGTTACTGCAATCTGTTAATTTATATGATGCATGGAAGTCCTCCTTCCTTAAACACAAGCTGCAGCAGTAGGTGCTTAGTTCAATTCCTTTCTAGGAATTGAATTCTGGTCGGGTCCTTGTGCCTCGTCCTGTACGCAGCTGCCTTGGTTCTCTGCATCTTACTAGGGCTTTACACAAGTCTGCTTAAACCCGCTTCCCCCAGTTACAACCCGCTCTGACCCTAGTCCTGGAACATGATATCTGAGAAATGCTGAGTTCAAGACTCTCCGTCAGCCGCTGTGGCGTGGCCGTTAACCTTTTGTTTATGTACCTGCTGTGCAACACAGAGACACTTCAGCTCTTTCCATGCTAAACAAATGCAGGCGTTTTAACCAAGCAAAATGCTTTATGACTCTGGGCATGGTTACTCCATGTCTTGTTAGACTCTTTCCTCTGTGGAGATTCATATTGGGATCTTAAACATCTTTGATGCCTTGCAGGCAATCCATTAACATCGGTGTCCCCTAATTGGCTAGCCATACCATTATTTATAAAATAGGGTTCCCTTCCTAACTCTGCAGCTACCAGTCCCTTCATTTCATGAATATATAATCATCTGTATTATCAGCTGTGGAGCATTTTACACTGCTACATATTTTAGACTACATAATGAGCTGCGTGTGTGTGAATGACATACAAAAAATAGACGAAAATTGATGTTGCGCTTACTGCAATGTATGAGCTGATCTGGTTAGACATGAAATGCAGACAGAAAACTGCCTCACCTCTCAAGCTAATTTTAGTCTCTCCCTGTCTTCTCTCTAGCTGTGTGTGTATAAAATCACTTGCAGTCTGACAGCGCTCCAGTAACCTGTGCCTTGCACAGAGCAAGATGTACTTACTAACCATCTGCTTGCATGGCATGGGTTAACTGAGCCTGTGGGATTGTGCTTACCTAAACAAAACCACTGCAGTGAGGGGAAAAACAATGAATGGGTGGAGATGATCAGCCCATGCATTCCAGCGAGTGCAGTCCAGGCAGCAATGACAGCCTGAAGGTTGCAGCAGCAGCGGGATCTGCATTCCAAGTGCTCACATCTCACCGTCTGGAGCGATTTGACGTGGAGCTGCTCTTCATTTGCTGAGCCATGGCCAGTAACCAGGCCAGCCTGCAGGACGATCAGAGCAGGCACTGCAAGTTCTTGTCCTATATGTTCTACCAGGCTGTAAGAGATCACAAGCCTGTTTGGATGCTGGAAGACATGAGAACTATGGAGTATTTTTACTGGGAGGAAAATGCCAGCCTAAGAACATACTCACCTTCAGAAGCCCTTCTCTATGCAGTGGTGCATAATCACCTGCCTTATGCTCAGTATCTGCTGTCTCATTTTCCAGAGGAGGCTCTCAAGGTGCCTGGGGAACACTTCTGCTACTGCCCATCCTCTGCCCCTCACTTGGCCATGGCAGTCACATATGACAGGAGAGATATCTTGGGGCTGATCATCAAAATTGCACACAAGCTCCCCAGCTTGAACTCCTACATCAACAGAACCGGCTGCTTTCATCTAGAAGATGGGAAGACCCCCCTGCATCTTGCCTGTGAACTGCTGAGGTCAGAGACGGTCCTCATCCTCCTGGGGAATGGAGCTTCTCCCAGGATAGAGGACAGCAAAGGGCTTACCCCGCTGGACGTCATCCTGGAGCAGATGTGGGACTCCAAAGTCAATGTGGCATCAAAGAAACTCTGCCTTGACTACCTCTTGCTATTCATGCCCAACCCACAGTTTAAGATGCGGAAAGTTCTGCAGGATCATCCAGACCACTGGACAGCTTTGCTGGGGGAAGACAAATTCAACAGCCTGGTGGGGAACACACCTGCTTCTTTATATCTGCAAGCTATGCAAACTATTCTCCAGACTCTGCCCCCCTCCCATTTTCCTAAAAGCATCCAGGAACTACCTATACCTCAGGCACTAAAGCCCTTACCATCCTATGGCAAAAAGCTACCGACAAAAAATGTGGTAAATGTTTTTCCTTGACTTTATTCGCTGGGTCTTGGATTTTCAAAGCCAACCTAGGGGAGCTGGTCATCCACCACCCTTTGATTTCCATGTGATTTTAGTACTTACCCTGTTAGGCTATGCTGGAAAATCCAGTCTTTTGTGACAAGATTTTAAATGTTTTTCTATCTGATTGCAGGCACGGCACTTTTAAAGGAAAAACCTTTCTTGTTTTTTGTTTTGTTGTGCATGTGAAGGGTTAACCGTAGTTGAGACTGCATTAGGTTTGGTTTTTTTTAACTGTCAACTGGTATCAGTGTATCTGAATTCCCAATGTGATAACTGTATCCTGTGTAAAGTACCTGGGTGAAAGGAACTACTTGCCCAGTGGGATTTGCAAAAGGTGTAACTATGGGACTGTGTTCTGCTAGAGCTAGGATAAATACCATACTGTACCAACAGGGTTGAAATGTCAGGTTTCCTTTCTAACAATGATCCAGTATCATCTAGTAATAACCAAAAAGTCCATGGCTGTTACTGCAGAGACATAGAGCCAGTCCTGCAGAGTACGTGATTTTAATGAGTTACTTTACAGTGAGTCATAGTGTAGCGTGTGTAAGTGCAGAGAAGGGCAGGCAGCGTATATTCTTGCAGGGGAATAATGACAGGCAAAAGAGCTACCAGAAAGCCTCCCCTGTCTCACCTGGGAGTGAGAGGGTTAAAGGCAATCCTGGCCCTGATGCCTCCATAGAATTGTGCAATGGGGAGGGACCCATTTTCCCTGCTGTCCAGTAGAAAAATGCAAATCAGAGCAGGGCCAATGGAAGCCCTGTCTTTCATAAGTGACATTATTTACCCTTGACTTATGTTTTAGGGGTGAACATATCTCCAAAAGACATCGCTCACTAACTTGACTTGCCCCTTGGTCTCAGAGCCACCTGCACCTACTGGTTATCTTCAGCTAGGGTATGATGTTCTGCTGTTAGAATTTGTCATTTGTTGTTGATTGAGTATTTTTGCCTCCTGGGTCCAGACAGAGGGTCCGATCCCAGAAAATACAAATAGCTCCCATCGCCTGCCCCAGGGTGCGTTTGCTGCTTTCTGGGACCAGGCTCTCCTAACAGGGCTGGGGCTGCCCAGCTCTCCAGGGAGCTCTGTGTTCACTGGTTGGGCAGGGTCCTGTCTGAGCAAGGCACAGGTCTTGCTCTCCCAGGCATGCTCAGCGCCACTGCAGCAGCAGCCGTATTGTTTCCTCCTGGCTCCCTTTGGGGGACATGTTTTATTTCGGACCCAAATGTAAGCATGACCCTCTGCTCTGCTGAGGTAGGGTAACCCATTTCCACGTATCCGGACTGAGCAGCGGTAAATAGCTCGCTCATCTCTTGAAATATATTTGGAGCAAAAGGCCAAGGGGCACTAGCCCCTTTTCGCGAGGCTCTGGGTAAGAGGGGATGTGCACCAGGGACTGTGTGCGCACATCACACTGAACGGGGGAATCGCTCCACAGGAAAATGGCTAGTGTCTCATCTGGCTGACCCTTTGCTTGTGCCAAGGCAGCTGTGCTGGAGCTGTATGCTTTTACATCGGCACTGGCAGCACTTCTCTGCCTCTTTGTGCACCGGGTACCTGTGGCTGCGGCCAGGCGGAGCTTTCCTGCAGGGCTGTGCAACGTGCTGGGTACAGCCAGGGGCCACATCCTCACGCAGATACCAGTCAGCCAAGTGGGACGGTCCTCCCGGATGCCCCTTCCCACACACCGTGGGAGCGCCTCAGTGCCAGTGCCGCCGGGCGCTGCTCTACATGGAGATGCAGACTCACTCCCATCCCCCTGGAGATGGAGAAAAAGCCAGCCCAGCCCTGAGAGTGTGAGCAGGCCAGAAAAGGGTTAATCTTCTTTAACTCACACCTCCCTGGTGGCGCACTGCCCTTCTACCCAACCTCTGGAGGCTTGCATTTCTTTCCCCATCCCCTGCATTTCTTTACCTATCTCCATCTCTGCCTTCCTGTGTGACAGCGGAGGGCGTGAATGGTGGGGGAGAAATGCAAGGGCAAACCTCAGGCGAGGGTTTTGCAGAGAGGCTGTCTGCACAGCAGCCTCTGCGGCACGCACCGGCAGTCGGCGGCAGTCCGAGGCTGTCACAGCTTCCGAAGCAAGGCAGAGCCCAAGGCAGATTTACATAGTAAGCAGCAGCTGAGCTGCTTCTGTTGAGCTTGCAGGCTCCCCAGCCATCACATCTCCTTGCCCCTCAGCAGCATGGAGATGGAGGCAGGGGACTAAGCCAGCACTCGCTGCCCACAGCTCATGAGGCAGGAGAGCAGAGCGGCTACGCTGCCCCCGTGGCGCCCCGAGGAGCAGGACTGGGCTTGTTCCCAGCAGCAATGCGGTATCTCATGGGGATGGTGCTGAGCGAGAGGCAGAGGAGGCTGGCGAGGGATATTATTAGCATGGTAATTAGGTGCTGGGAGCAGATATTCCAAGGAAAGAGGGCAAGGAATTCATCAGCCGTCATCGCGCTGGCTCGCTACCATGAGGGTTTCCACGCTATAACGAATTGCAGAAACAACAGGAGGGAGGGGAAAGCTGTTCAGATCACAAAGCAGCGGAGGCAGGTAGGGACTCTTGGCATTGCTGAGGTGGCACTTTACAATAAGTCAGGGGGATGTGCCCAGAGGGCCAGAGCAACCCACTGGGAGCAAGTGGGTCTAAAATGGTGCCATGATCACTTGTTGACTGTAAGAGTTGGGGATCATTGCAAAGGTCAGTGTTTAGGCTCCCAGGCTATTCAGGTGGCTTTGTAGAAGGCAGCAGGATATATCATGTGCTCGCGTTCCTCCGTGCATGAGGTTACTCTACCTACTGGCCAGCGCGGAGGATAAGAGATCCACTCTCAGCAAGTGCTCAAAAAGCTCATATTCTGGGGCGTATCTGTGCTTGTGATCACCGCCTGGAAGAAAGCTGCTGGCTGGTTGTTGGCCAACATGCAAAACCGATGGTGTTCTCGACCCACTTTGCAATAGGCAACTAGCCACACTGGAAAAAGCACTCCAGATGCCTACCCTTTCTCCTTTTACTGTCCATTTTAGCAGGAGACCAAGCACTAGATGGGCCTTGGCCACTAAGCTACCATCTGACTTCAACATATGGTCCTGCTGGGCCAGAGTTTAGGGGCATTAGCGTTGTGGTGCTTCTGTTACAGAACGTCTCTTCCCATCACCTGTGGTGACACCAGTGTGGGGTGAGGTTTCCTTCTGCCGGAGCAGAGAGAATCTGTTACCTGAACCTGGTTTACTTGTCTTGCAGTGACCTGCTGTTAGTTGGGGATCCCATTTGTCTTCCTGCCCACTACAGTGACGTTACATCAGATGCAGCCAAATCTACCTCAGCTCTGTCGTGGTTGATTTTTTTCATTCTTTTCAAGCCAGGTCATTAGCAAAAATAAATTCTAAATGTTTTCCACAGTTCCTGCAATCTGACAGTCCATAGTCTTGAAAAATCCCTACACTTGCATGACAAAGATGTTTGTGACTTTGTTACTTAAAAAGGGTGCTAGGTGCCGTGTAGTGATGTTTACATTTGGCATAAAATCATACTGCTTAAGTGTAGTTAAGATCTTTATTTCTGAACTTGGGAAAAAGAATAAAAGTGAGAGAGAAAAGGAAGGGGATAGCTTGTGTTAATCTTTGGATTACAGGTTAGCTCTGCAGGTTACACTTTTTATTGCAGTTTCAAAGAGTAGCACTGTAAAGATCTGACAGGTGTGAGAGTGTGTGTGTGTTACTTCAGTTCTGATGAGCAACCTTTCAGTGAGCACTGTGAGTGACTTTGTGTGAGTGTGCGTGTGTGTGTGTGTTTGGGCGCACGTATGCACACGTATGTCTGTGCCTGTCTGTCTGTATGTCTGCCCTCTCCTGGCAAAACTCCTAACTGATTTACAATACTTGTATGCTACAGTGATCAATGCCTTAAGAAAGCAGCCTTTCAGTGAAATAAGTCTGTGTCCCAAGCAGCATGCTGCAAACAGGTAAGGACATGTTTTCTGTTGCAAAAAGGCAGCAGCTTTGCTCTTGGAACGGGTGTTTTATCCCTGAACACCACGCGCAAGGGCTTCCGCATGCCAACAGCCACAGTCAGCCAGCCAAGAATTTGTGATAGTGGCCACAGGTCATTCTTGAATCAATTTTTTTTGAAGTAAAATCTATTAAACATACATCCTCATCTTTCTTTTCTCCTAGTACTTAAATGTGAAAGTAGACGTCTGCTTTTGGGCTGCCAGCAAAATTCAGCCACCTGTGACTTGCTAACCCTATGCTTCTGTTTCTGCAGCTCCATTAGCGGGAAAGACGTGCTAGATTCAGGTCCCAGTTACATCTCTTTACACCTGAAGTAACGCTTTTTAAGTCAGTTGCACCACTCCAGGTATTTGCTGTACAAGAAAAAACAGAAACTCGCTCTATTTGTGCACTTATTTTCTTCAAGGTTCCATAACTCTGACTTCAGCATATAAATAAATGTGATGCTTAATCCCTGAACACTTTTTTACATTGTTGGTATTTTGAATGTATACAGATATATATTTTCCGTCCTTCTAACACTGATGGGCATTTCCCTACTACCAGTTTCCTTGGCTTTTGGGGGGTTCAGCGTGACAGTGACAGATGCTGTTGTTCACTGATTAAGACTGAATGGTGCCATGCCCAAGTACAAATGAATGTTCATTGTATGATATGACTTTCTTATAAAGCCATACTTTTTAAATTTAGGTTTCTCTTTTTTTAGGAAAAGAAATTCTTCCATATAATCATGTTTGTACATTACTTGCTGCATGATTAAAGAGAAAAAGATTGCAACATGTACTGGGAATAAAATATATATAGATACCCTGATACAAATATATTAACTGTGAGAATTATTTAATCTGATTGTATTACTGTAATAAACTTGCAGTATAAACTTGATGTGTCTTGTCTCAGCCAGTTGGTCAAAATCACCCACCAGTATCAATCCCTTTTGCTTTGGCTGATTTTGATGTTTGATGATTTCTTTCTGACTGCTGAGCTATTCCTTCCAATAATGCGATCTGAGGAACATATTTTCTCTCACAAACTTGCAATAGCTGGCTGTGCTGTCAGAGGATGACCCCAAGTGCCGAGGTGAACCCACATTTCACAGATCTGCTGCAAGGTGAAGGTGAGTCAGAGGAAAGGCCTCAGCAGGGGAGGGTGATAATGAGTTTTAGAGATCTTCATCTTTAGGTTTGAGTTCAGCCCGAGGCAGCTTATGAGAAAGTTGTTTCCAATGAATATCACAGTGCCAGCAGGCTCCTTGCTCTATCTGCAATCAACAAGCTTCTTTCCTTCCTTTTTTTTTTTTTTTAAAGAAAGAGAGATACCCCCAGGAAAGTTACCAGCACTGCTGGACTGCTTCGGACTCAGGTGCTGCTGTAGGTCCTTGGCCAGACGTGCACCTCGGCCAGACATGCACTCGCACCCGCTGGACCCTCCAGGGTAGGTGGGTCACCCACTCCTGTGCTCAGGCAGAGCCCACCCGGTGCCTCCGCTGCCTTGTCCAACCTGAAACAGCACAGTGTTTCAGGTGACGGTATCACGGGCTTGCGCTCCTCCCACCAACAGCACCCGCAGCTCTCCTTGGTGAGTGCTGAGCACAGAGGCATAATCTGAACAGTTAGCACGGCCCACTGTCCTTGCACACTAAGCTATTGGTTTCATGGAAGCATGCAGGGAGGGGAACTGTTTCACCGATCCCACTACAAAGGCCAAGACTATCTCCTTGCCCTCGTAATGGGAGATTTATCCCCAAACTGTTCCACCACAGGAATGGGATGTGAAACACGTTACCGTGTGGTCCCCGGAGATGCAAGTTTTCTGGCTTATTTGCTTCAACCTTTCTTTGGGGAAACTTTCTTTGAGGATCAGGAGCTGATTCATTTTCCCTCATGCCCTGGCGGCTCTGCTGCAGCAGATGCCAGAGGGGCCTGTGAGCGGCCATGGAGGCTTACAGCGCCCAAGGATGACTCACCACTCAGCGCCAGCCCACGGCACCTGCAGGCGTCCTGGGGAAACTGCTGCTGAGCACTCGTGACTGGGGCTCGACTGCAACTAGTGACGTAGCAATGAGAATCTGTATTTCCCATTAACTGTTGCTCCTGCTTGATCTTGTTGCCCGCTCATGTGCCTAACCCTGGTGCCTCCAACCCCGGAAATGATGGCAGTTAAGACCTCCCTGGCTGCAGGTGACAGGGCCTTTGCAGCTCATAGGCTCACCACCTCCTGGCTAACGTCAGCAGTGGGTGGCAGTGACATCCATCCCCGCAAGGCCAGGCTGCCAATCCTACCTTAGTACAGAGGTCACCACACAGCAGCTCCTTTTTAGCTGCAGGGTCTCTGGACAGCTCTGTGTAGGGGCATCCCACATCAGCGATGAACAAGAACCGCTGGCCACTGTTTCAGGCTCAACCCTGGCAGGCTTCTTCACCCACGGAAACCAGACTGGAGCGGCGCTTCCAACATTGCCACATTAGCAGCAGTCCCCGCACCAGCCAGCCTAGCAGGGGCACAAAGGACACGTTCATCTGGCATGGGGACCCAAGCCCAGCTGAGGGCCGTGGGATTTTCTCCTCCCTATTTAATTTTGTCTTTTGCAGGTGGGATTTGCTGAGTGCTTCACCAGATGCCCCAGCACATGGGCTTGACACTCAGGACTCTGGGTCAGAGACAGGCTTTGGCCCTCATTTTTATTTATTTTATTTCAGCAGAAATATAATAGTGCAGTAGGCGATTCTGCTTGTTTCTCAGCTGTTTGGAAGGATCGGCCCCAAATATGGTCTCCATTTACATACCCTGCCTTTCTGTAAGTGATTTGCTTTTGGTACAAGCTCAAAGGTGACTTTTTCATCCAGAAATCAGGCAGGCAGAGGTAGAATAGGCTCCACTGCACGTAGAGCATGGTGTGGACATGAACAAAGTAGTGTGGTGGCATCTTGGATACTTGCAGCATGGATGTGGACAGAGTGGCACTGCCTGGGGCACGTTCACGGGGCATATTGCTTAGGAGTGATTTAATGGGCCTGTGCAGACAGGACCTGATCTTGATCGGATCAGACAGTCCAGTCACTAATTCCCTCACTTAGGTCATTTCACAACGGTAGTTAGGTGTAGCCCCCCACACACCAGCAGGCAGCAAGACAGGTATTTAAATACAGAGTGAAATGTAAAGGGTATACATATTCCTCTGTGCTGGGAGTACACATTCTCAGATTCAGACGATGCAGTGACAGAAATCCTGTCCGCGTATCAGTTAACTTGGAGAGCACCTCACCTGAGTGAGTCACCCCAAACACAGCTGATATGTTTGGTGCATCCCATGCTAGTCTGCTACTCAGCCCGTGGCTGCCTGGCCAATACAGCAGCAAAGCCTTCCGGGAACACGCTCTGCATTTTGCTGCGCTGCCACACACAGCCAAGGATGCGGGTGACTGCACACAGCCCTCACAGGGATCTAGCTCCCAAGACTCCCAGAGTTGTCTCTGGCTCTTGGAAAGCTGCTCTGAGGCCAATAAGCTGGGTTTCTCTGAGGGCTACTCCAAAAGGCTGCTCAAATTGGAAAATCAATGCTAATTTTCCAGAACAGGTCCCAGCTCCAGGTTTAATAAAATCTACTCATATTCCACCATGGATCTCCTGTGAAGTAGAGGTTTTTTTAATCAGTGGGAAGGCTTTTGGTGAATCTCATGACTGCATATAGAGAGAAGATAACTGAATATGTTCCATACCACAGCTCTGCCCACCTACACAGTGAGATAGGCAGATTCCCCTGCAGAGCTGAGAGGGGGAGGAATGATATCACAGTTTTTAAACTCTCAAAAGGAAGTCTGGGAGAAAAAACAGATAAGAAGGATTGGGAGGGTGAGTATGGGAAGATCCCTTTGAGGAAGCAACTCCTCCAGTTAAACCGAGAAAACAGTATGGACAGGAGGCTCTGGCAGCAGGAATGAGCAGACAGGTAGGGGGTATTACTCCTTTCTGAGGCTGCTTTTAACTTAGGCAGTGGAAGATCTTGTTCTTTGGTGCCAAATTAGTAGGGAAGATTCCTAATAATACTGAGGCAGTCCCCTGCCCCCAGCATGCTGTACATTATGTACACATAAGAAATACCTGGCACAGGAGACAGATTATAGCACTGCAAGCTTCTGAGATGGGAGAAGAAGAGGTTGACAAGCCCTAGAAAAGGAAATAATCACTAGAGTTGACTGGAAATTGATGTTTCTGTTCCACCAGAAATGACAACATTGCAAAACAGGCTTCAATTCTGAATCAGAACAAAAATTCAAAACATCAAATTTTATAAGAACTGAATTTTACAAAGGAAACTAATACAGAACTACCAAAATAGTTCTTAAAGAATAGCATCATTTTGTTAATGTTGCAACATTTTGCTTTTTCTTTTTAACATTTTATCATATGTTACAGTCTCAAAGCATCATGAATAATGAAAGTTACATGCATTTAAATACCTCAATAATAGCAAAATTAAAAAAAAAAGACAAAGTTGAAATTTGCTTTATAAAGTAAAACATTCTGATAGTTGTAACTCTTTATTCAGACTTTCAGAAATTTTGTCCAAACAGGAACATAAACAACACATTGTTGGGTCAGACTGCTGGGTCCATCCAGCCCTGCCCACTGGCAATAAGAAAGGCTGTGTTAGGACAGCACATGAGTCTGGCCGCTTTCTACAGCCCACTCCCTGCTTACTCCCTCAGTATCCACAGCTGTCGGACTTGAGATGTTTCTGGGTACGTCCCTGCCTAGTCCTCTAGTAGCTCTCTATGGGACTGGTCTCCACCAATTTTGTCTAATTCCTTTTTCAGCCTGCTGATAGAGTCACATCTACTACATCCTGGGGCAGCAACGCACATTTATCTGTGAGCTTATCTGCCATATGTTTGCCCTCTCAGTTTAGAGAAGTCCTTCTGGCATCTTTTTCTATCTGTGTGGAGTTGTCTTACCGGAAAGAGCCCCGTACCATTGCAAACTCAGAGATTTCATTGTTCGCTGCCTCCTCTGGTTATTGATGAAGATGTCAAACAAAACTGATTCCAGCACTGATTCCTTGGTGACCCCACAGCTAGCTCTTCTCCGTATTGACTACTAAATCCCACCCTTTGCTTGCTGTGCTTTAACCAACTTTCAATCCACGAAAGAATTTTTCCTCCAGACCTACCATTTATTTAATAACCTTTGGTGTGGAAACTTGCTGAAGGCAAGTCTATTTGAAAATCCAAATAGAGTATATCCACTGGATCTCACTGTTCTCCTCTATCCTTTTAAGTTAGACACGTCTCTGACAAAAAATAAAATTTTGATGAAAATATATTTCCCAATAAAACCTGTTGTGACAGGACAAGTTAGAGTTAAAAAGCATTGTCCATCAGAAAGACCTATAGATTTTTATATGGCAGTGCTGTCCCTTGTGAGTTGGAAGCTAGGAGCTCCTTAACTGAGCAAAGCAACACCATGCTGTAGTACCTCCCCAGTCCAGTTTTCCTTTTCAGTAAAGATTTTAAAAGTTATATTTTAGGCTTGAAAGCCATACTCCCTACATCTCTGGTCCCGGGACAAACGCAAGTTGGTCGGCCTTTTCTACTTCTGTCTTTCTTTACTGATCTCATCTCAAAGCCCTCTGGAGGAAGAACACTGTTGCATTATATGTGCACAATACCCAAAATAATTAGGCCCAGTTCATGAAAGAAGTGCTTACAGGCTCTCTATCAATGAAGTAATGGCACTAGGGCAGAAAATGAGCAGTTATAGGAAGAAAAAACTCTGTTCTTGTGCCTGGAAGGTGTTAGGCAGTGACACTGTAAATAGTCTTTCAAACT